ATTGGGGAGAATCTTGAACTTCTTCAGAACACCTCTCTTGAGCTTTTTCTCTCCTTATTTTAGAGACCAAAGCATCTTTTTGACATGTCTGAGATGCTGCTTATATGACCCAGCAGACACACTTCTCAATATTTAACCTACTGGGTCAAGCGCCATCTCCATGACAGAGGAAAGCTGAAAATATTGTTTTTGATCCATGATTAGTTGAATCTGTGAATGCACAGGGCTGACTGTAGACTAATGAGTTAGCTATGGATTTTTGACTACTTGGGGGATTGGGATTCCAATCACATTTTGTTTAAGGGTCAACTGTGTTTCAGCTCCAAATTACCGCCTTAGCCAGACAAGTCTGTGCAGTTACCAAGCTGCATAACCTTACAGGGTAGACCTGAACAAGGTAAAATTTCTTCACTTAACACACACACATACACACACACAAATAATAAAATCTATGAAAAAAGAAAGCAAGAAGGATTAACTCTAAAGATACAAAGAATGTATATGAAATACAATATTTAGAGATTCATCATCTTTAAGATGTCAAACGTCAAAGATGGAAGTAGAAATGGGGACTGACTAGTAGATATACTTGCAAAATGCATAAACTTGCTTCCTCAGTAAAAATAAGAAGTTGTTTATATTTTCAGAGTATAGAGATACATGTCTGGGATTTGATTTGACCTACTTAGAAGCAAACCTTAACCCAAGAAACTAATCTTAGTCTGTTACTCTTTCATGGATGCTGACAGAAGTTATAAGACACTGGGTCAGAAACAAAGGACTGCCTTTACTCAGGACATATCAGGCAGCATGAGCGTCAGCATATTTACAGTTATCTCTGTCTCCAAGTCTTATGGGGCAACACTGCACATTGTGGCTACATTGCAGCAGGGGAACACTGAGTTGGGGGACCTACTCTTTTCATGGCAGGTAGAAAGCAAGACTGGTCTTTGTCCTGGGGGAGAGCGTACCTCATCATTCTAAGTTCCCAGCTATATGACAGCCCTGAAAAAATTTCCAGGTTAAAGAATGGTCAACAAGATGGAGGCATAGGTGGAGACGATGTGCTTCCTCACACAACCAAGTTTAGAGACAACTAAATATTATCAATAGAAAACACAGCCAGAACACAGAAAATTGAACTTTTTGGAAGTCTGATAACAACAAATTCTTCAGCCTGACCAGTAAGAGGGGTGAAACCAGCAGCTGGCGGAGCAGGGTTGCACAGGAAAACTCAGTCAGACAGACTCAGGAACGCGGAATCCAGGCGCAGAGTTGGACCTAGTGGGCAACTCAGCAAGCAACCGAGGGGAAACAGTGAGGGAGCAGGGCTGTGGGTTGATTGTGGTCGCGCATTTGTGTGTGGATAGACAAGTGAGGGAGTGGGCAATTGGACAATTGGACGAGAGCCAGCAGCCCCAGTGGCAAGCAGCAGCAGAGGGCACTGCCATTTCCCCGCTCTGACCCCACCTCCACATACAGCATAATAACCCTATGACCTAAGTGGCCCTGCCCTGGTGAACCACCTAAGGCTCTGCTCCTCACACAGAGGCATAAAACAGCAGAGGGGGCCACCATTTCCCCGCCTTGACCACGCCCTCACACACAGCATCACAACCCAGCGACCTGGGAGTCCAAGGCTCCGCTCCTTGTACTTAATGGGCGTGAACAGACCAAAAACGGCTCAAGAAGATCTCAAAGCCCCAGAGCCTATAAATCTAAGCGATGAAGAAATAGCAAAACTCTCAGACACACAGTTTAAAACACTGGTCATCAGGATCCTCACAGAACTGGTTGATTATTGCCACAAATTAGAGAAACATATGAAGGCGAAACTAATTGAAATGAATGGAATTGCACAGGAAACCAATAGTGATGAAAAGGAAACTGGGACTCAAATCAATGGAGTGGACCAGAAGAAAGCAAATAATGGCCAAACAGAAAAGAGTGAAGAAGCAAGAATTCAAAAAAATGAGGAGAGTCTTAGGAACCTCCAGGACATCTTTAAACGCTCCAACATCTGAATTATAGAGGTATCAGAAGGGGGGAAGGAACAGCCACCAGTGGAAAAACTTATTTGAACAAATAATAAAGGAGAATTTCCCCAATCTGGCAAAGGAAATAGACTTCCAGGAAATCCAGGAAGCTCAGAGAGTCCCAAAGAAGTTGGACCCAAGAAGGAACACACCAAGGCACATCATCATTATATTAGCCAAGATTAAAATGAAGGAGAGAATCCTAGAAGCAGCAAGAGATAAGGGGACAGTCACCTACAAAGGAGTTCCCATCAGACTGTCAGCGGATTTCTCAAAAGAGACCTTACAGGCAAGAAGGGGCTGGAAAGAGGTATTCCAAGTCATGAAATCTAAAGACCTACAACCAAGATTGCTCTATCCAGCAAAACTTTCATTTAAAATGGAAGGACAGATAAAGTGCTTCTCAGATAAGATCAAATTCAAGGAGTTCATCATCACCAAGCCCTTATTATATGAAATGTTAAAGGGACTTATCTAAGAAGAAGAAGTTAAAAAAAACATGAACAGTGAAAGGACAACAAACTCACAGTTATTAACAACCATACCTAAAACAAAAGCAAACTAAAAGGACAGCTAGATCTGGAGTGGAAACATAGAAATGAAGATCTCAAGGAGGGTTAGCAACAGGGGAGTGGGAGGAGGAGAAGGGGGGAGAAGGTACAGAAAATAAGTAGCATAGACAGTAGATAGAAAATAGATGGGGGGGCAAGAACAGTATGGGAAATATAGAATCTAAAGGACTTGAGACACATGGTCATAAACTAAAGGCGGGTAATGGTGGGGACAGGAGGTAGGGTGGAGGGGAATGAAGAGGGGAATAGAACAACTGTAATGGCATAATCAATAAAAAATAAATTTAAAAAAAAGAGAAAAAAAGAATGGTCAAGTAGTGAGTCTTGGCACACCCAGTAAGTCATGTAAGAGTGAAAGAATCCCAAGGAACATGGTCTTTTCCAACAACAGATTATTTAGGATTAACATTCTAATTAAGAAAGGCTAAATAATAAAGAAATTGACATTTGCATAAAAGCCTGAAATTATTATTAATAGGCTCTGATCTAATTATGTACACACATCTTAAGCAAAGCTCCTCAAGTTTATATGCAACTTAAAAGAAAAAAATCAGAAGTGCAAGATATAGGAAATTATATCTAAATCTCTGTATAGGACATTTTAACATGATATTCATTGTTTATTTCTGATTTTAAAAGACACATATTCTCACTGAAAATGCATAAAATTATTTTTAAAACATTTAAAAGTCACTCAAAATCCCACCCCTCAGAGATCACAACTACAGTTTTATTTGGGAATATTTCTGCCCACTCTATATTTTGCGCATATTATTACACAGTTGCAATTATATCTTAATTCAATTTTATATCTTACTTTTACTTATAAATTATGTTCCCAATTACACATGTAACAAGCTTAATATTAAATGGCTTTATAATATTCCACAACATAGATGCATCATAATATAATTACTCACTTTGCCATGTTTCAATTGTTCACTATTATAAACAACCTTGCAGGATATACAAATTGTAAAACATAAAGCTTTGCACAAAACAATATCCAGAAGAAACCTCTGTCTTCTAAAATTAGTACTCTGAACAGGAATGTGGACATTTAAATTTTCTTTAGATATCCCATTTCCAAAATCCAGAGACAATTTGATCATATAATTAATTTCTGCTCTTATGCTTAACACCCCTCAATTCTTAAACTAGAACAATGCTTGGAAATAAATGTTCTATTATGGTTGCCCACTATTTGTTCTGTATCAGCCCTAAACTATCTACTTACAGACTTATTTATAGGAAAAAAGCAGGTAAATAAAGCCATCTATTAAGACACTCATTTGAAGATATCTATTTTATCATATGGACTTATAATAATTATATATAACAGACATAATATTATAGACTTCTATTATTCATAGAGTAATAGAACCTAATCCTGAGTCAGTAGCACGTGTCCTTTTTCAGGCTGTGACTACATCCTTTGCTGCATCTTCTTTCATGATGTGTGTAATTTAGTTTTTCAGGTTATTATTTTACATCCCTGGTTCTGGCTCTTCCCTTTCACATCTACATCCTGGTTCCTAATTTTTTGTTTGTTCTGTATCCCAGAAGTAACAAAAATCACTGAACAAAATGGTATTGATAAATAATACATCATTAGAAATTACTAAGTAGTTTTCCCCTATAAAAATAGCATGGCTCTGAGCCCAGGGTAAACTGCACAAATTTTAAATATACAATTCCTTTGACAAGCCTTCTTTTAACCTCTCCACATTCCAAAGGAATAATGAGAAGAAAAAAAAGGGAGAGGAATCATGAATTTTAGAATATTATCTAAATTAGGTTTCCATAACTTTTTATTTTAAATTTTAAGCCTGTGAGAAAACTAAAATATTGTGTAAAATGAAACCCATACACTATTTACCTGAAGTTACCAGTTGTTAACATTTTGTCACAATTGCTTTTTCTCTCTCCTCTTCTCAATGTCTTCTGAGTCCTGTGAAAGTCTGCCACAGAGTCAGGATGCATCTCCCGGGGCAAAGACATTCTTCTACTTCAATCAACAACAATATCCCAAGGAATTTAATATTAATATGATATTGTCTAATATTCCATCTATATTGAAATTTCTAACTTGCTCCAATTTTTTTATATTCTTCCCTGTCCCTGCCTCACCCTGGATCCAATCACGGATCACACACTCCAATGATCTGACATGTCTGTTTAGACGCCTATAATCTAATCAGTTTCCTTGAATTTTTTCCTTTCATGAATGACATTTTTGAAGAGTACAGGCATGATGACTAATATTGTGCCAACTTAACTGTGCCACTTGATGCCCAAATATATGGTTAAACATTAATTCTGGATGTGTCTGTGTGAGGGTATTTCTGGAAGATAGTACCATTTAAATCAATAAAGTGAGTAAAGCAGGTACCTTTCTCTAGTGTACATGGGCATCATCCAATCCACTGAGGAACTTCATGAATAGGAAAAAAAAAACAAAGACAAAGAAAGATTGAAATCACTCTGCCTGTTGAGCTGGGACAGCAATCTTCACCTGCCCTCAGTGCTCCAGGTTCTTAGGCCCTGAGACTTGGGTAGAATCTACACCATAGGTTCTCTGGATTTTCAGGCCTTCAAGCAACACCACCCAGCTTCCTAGGTCTTCAGCATGCAGATGGCAGATTAGGGGACTTCTCAGCCTCCACACTCGTGAGAGTCAACACCTTACAATAAATCATGTGTGTGTGTGCATGTGTGTGTATATGTGTATATATAAATATATTTAAATATATATTTATACTTATACAAATCTATATTTCCCTTCTGCTGAAGAACCTTGATTAATACATCAAGTAAATTGTCTTACAGAATTTACAGAATAACTTATAATCTGAATTTGATAAATTATGCTTTCTCTCACAATTAAACATTGGTTAGGTTAAACGTTTTGGAAAGAGTGACACATGGTAGATGTTATCCAAGATTCCATTGTTAGAATTAAAGTTGTCTCCTTGTGCAAATAAATAATAAGCCAACATGAAAAACAGTATCTGCCTATATGATAGAGAGCAATCGCATTTTAAAATAAAGATTAGAAAGAGCACATATCTTCTACCTGTCACCTTCTATTGTCAGTAGAAATCAAAGGATATAATGGCCCTAAGACTTTCTACTTGGCATAGAGAGTCAAAGAGCACAACCTACACATTAAAAATAAAAATGTCTTTAGATCAAACTATTTGAACACTTCAGTTTTATTTCTAAGGACTGGAATTACAGGGGACTCTCTCTATATTATTTTTTAGTGTCTGAGTGTTTATCACAAGCAGATATAACTTCACTTATACAAGCAAGAAAAAATATTCCAAAAATTTTTAAGTGAGAAAATATTTAAAGCAAAAACTTGGGGCCTCACATTTTTTTACAAAATCAGGTAGCACATGATTTCCATAGTCAGTTGTTCCATAGTAAAACAATCACTGGGTAATATTAGCCCTTGAATTTTAATGATGGTAAATGCCTTCCAATTTCCTACAAGCCTTTAATGGATTGCCTTTTAAGTGTTCATATTTGGCGGGGGGAGATTACAAACATTACAGAACAAAGGAACTATCACTGATTGATTCTCTGATATAGAAGAGAACCTTCCAATGCACTCTTTTCCCTTTGATATTTTTCCTGGTAAGCTTTTGTTTCAGATTCAAATACAATCTGAATAGATGCAATTAACCTTAACAATATGTATAACTTTACAGCACTGTACTGACTTTGAAGTAAGTAACCTTACTGTGTAATTGAACTAAGTTTCTTTTATTTCTCATTTCTGCTATGTGTCTACTGATTATTACAGGTATTAGGTGTTTGGGAGCTTTCATCATCCTGTTGATTTAGTGTTTCACTGTTTCAGCTATCAAAGGCTTTTTGAGAAATGCTCGCTCAATTTTTATGATATTGTATTTGAACAAAAATGATTACTCCCCAAGATCTAGCAGGCTGCAGATTTATATCATACTGGAATCTAGTGAAGAACAGGGAAATTTATTCAAAGCAGGACCATAATCTCTGCCCTTCTGCATAAACAGCAAGATAAATGTGTTCTAATCAAACTGAAATATCTCTTCTTTCCATTCACTCCAATAACCTCTTCTGCCATGCCTAGAACTGTGATTTTAAAACTGTAAGTGGTAACCCACTAGTGGAAAATATATTCTTAATGAATAAGAAGGGAAAATGTCAGGACTGTGTTACATATAGCAAAGATTCCCACAGAAACTTTGTTCTTACAAGCTACTTCTCTATACAAATCATTTTAAAGCTATAAACAAATATCACATTACAGTGTCTACAGTACCACTAGCCTATAGAAGTTCTATTTTCTTGATATGAAAAGATGACAACTGACAGGAACCTAGCTAGTTGCACTTCACGCCTTCCTGCACCTCTGCATCACATCCAGGTCCCGGCTGTGGTGGACAGACTGGGGTTTGAGTACTAGTTCTGAGACCTCAGGAAATCATTTTATCTCTCAAGACTCAGTTTCTTTATCTATAAAGTAACAGTGTCTTTATCATGAAGACAAAATTTAACAAAGTATGTAATATGCTTAGCACAAGGTCTAGCACAGGGTTCAGTTCCAGACATAAAAGTTCCAGTTATTGGGATTGTTATTTTGGTTTTAGTCTCTCAGTTTAACTATTTCAGATCACAACTAATTCACTTAATGCTATCAGAATATTGCAATGCTTCATTATACTTCTCACTTCAAAAATAAGTCAACTGGGGAAAGCTCTACTGATTAGTTTAGTGGTGGAAACTGATACTCATTGAAGAACCTACCCAGCACATTAAGCCATATCGTTATCATAAAGTTAGAAATTCATTAAATGGTATCTGTTAAATACTGCATATTATTTTTACAAACTTCCTAACTACTTATGAGTCTTGCCTGGAGATTGGGTTAAATAGTCCCCTCATGAATAGCCATGGATATTGAGTAATCAAAAAGAGTGAGTACTCATTAGAATCCATCACAGGTTATTCTCTCCCTGTGTATTATGATTTCATAGCACTAAAAGGAACTTTGGCATTATTCAGTTCTCCATGTCTAGGGATGAATAATAGCCTGATGCTTTCATGCCATTTGGTATCTATAGGCAAAGCTTATTTTCTCACAGTCACATAAGAAACAAAAAAGAAATCTCAAGCATTGCAGTGAAGAAGAAATTGTAAATAGTAAAAGCAGTTCTTATTGGCTCTCATAAGTTTTTAGAAACTTGCATTCTGTTTAAGAATAGTTTAAGCCCTGGCTGGTGTAGCTCAGTGGATTGAGCGTGGGCCTGCAGACCAAACAACTGCGGTTCGATTCCCAGTCAGGGCACATGCCTGGGTTGCAGGCCAGTTCCCAGCAGGGGACCCATGAGAAGCAACCATACATTGATATTTCTCTCCCTCTTTCCTTCCCTTCCCCTCTAAAGATAAATAAATAAAATTTAAAAAAAAGAATAGTTTAAGACTATTTTTTATGTGGTTAGTATGGATTCAAACAAGGTGAGTCAATGAGTTGTTTTTGATCACCTCTTTCAGACATAAGAAATTATACTTCAGGGTTCAGAATATACAGATCGAAAATTCCAGCCAAGATAGAGGTGTAGGGAGACACCCTGTACCTCCTCCCATAACCAAAAGAAGGACAACAACAAATTTAAAAACAAAAAACAACCAGAACTGAGAGCAAATTGAACTGTGTGTAAGTCTGACAACCAAGGAATTAAAGAAGAAACATTCATCCAGACCCATAGGAGGGGTGAAGACAGGCAGCTGGGGTGGAGAGGACTCCCAGCAAGGCAGCAGCTAGAGGACTGGGCAGGCAAGGTGGTGACTGGCAGACTGGGCAAGGCAGTGGCTTGTGTACTGGGTAGTCCCACAACTGGGGAGCAAGACAGACCACCCAACCAAGGATTCCAGCTCAGGGAAATACAGCCTCAAAGCCTCTGAATGAAAAATCCTGTGAGGGTTCAGTCTGCAAGAGAAACTCCCAGCCTCACAAAAGAGTTCATTGGAGACACCCACAAAGTCCTAGAGTGTACACAAAACTATCCACCTTGGAATCAGAATTAGAAGGGCCCAATTTGCTTGTGGGTAGTGGCAGGAGTGACTGAAAGCCAGCAGAGAGCTGAACAAGCAGCACTGTTCCCTCTCAGACCACTTCCCCACATATAGCGCCACAATACAGTGAAGTGGATTGCCCTGCCCTAATGAATACCTAAGGCTCCATCCCTTACTACATAACAGGCATGCCAAGACAAAAAAAAAAAAAAAAACTGCCCAAATGAACGAGTAGATCAAAGCTCCAGAAAAAAATGCAACTAAATGATAAAGAGATATGCAACCTATCAGATGCACGGTTCAAAACACTGGTAATCACCTGGCTGGTGTAGCTCAGTGGATTGAGCGCGGGCCTGCAAACCAGACAATCACGGTTTGATTCCCAGTCAGATCACATGCCTGGGTTGCAGGCCGGTTCCCTTCAGGCCAGTTCCCAGCAGGGGATGCACAAAAGGCAACCATACATTGATGTTTCTCCTCCTCTCTCCTTCCCTTCCCCTCTAAAGATAAATTTTAAAAATCTTTAAAAAAAAACTGGTAATCAGGATGCTCACAGAACTGGTTGAGTATGGCTGCAAAATAGAGGACAAAAGGAAGGCTATGAAAAGTGAAATAAAGAAAAATATTCAGGGAACCAATGGTGATCAGAATGAAACCAGGACTCAAATTAATGATTTGGACCAGAAAAAAGAAATAAGTAGTCAACCAGAAGCAAACAAAAAACAAGAATCCAAAAATATGAGAGGCTTAGGAACCTCCAAGATAACTTTAAACATTCCAACATCTGAATATAGGGGTTCCAGAAGAAGAGGAAGAGCAAGAAATTAAAAACTTATTTGAAAAAATAATGAATCAGGAGAACTTCCCCAATCCTAATCTGGCAAGTGAAATAGACTTCCAGGAAGTCCAGGAAGCACAGAGAGACCCAAAGAAGTTGGACTCAAGGAGCAACACACCAAGGCACATCATAATTACATTACCCAAGATTAAAGAGGGGAGAATCTTAAAGGCAACAAGAGAAAAGGAGATATTTACTTACAATGAAGGTCCCATAAGACTCTCAGCTCATTTTTCTAAAGAAAACTTGAAGACAACATGGGGCTGGGAAAGAAGTATTCAAAGTCATGAAAGGCAAGGACCTACATCCAAAACTACTCTACCCAGCAAAGCTGTATTTAGAATGGAAGGACAGATAAAGTGCTTCCCAGATAAGGTCAGATTAAAGGAGTTCACCATCACCAAGCTTTTATTATATGAAATGTTAAAAGGACTTATTTAAGAAAAAGAAGATAAAAATATGAACAACAAAATTATAACAAACTCACAACTATTAATAATCTAACCTAAAACCAAAAAACAAAAACAAAC